ATATGCACTCACAGGAGCATATGCATCTCTGCATCTGTTTCCTTTCCTTGTATTAATCTTTAGTGTCGCTATATTTATTTCTGAGGTTTAAATGATTTTTATGTAGGCGTGAAAGACTATTCAGTGCCTCAAGAAGAACTCTTTTGAGATGTCTGATGAAATATGACAAATTCTGTGAATCAGCAGTCTACAATTGAATTTCTGATTCAGGAATGGAGTCAAGCCAAAGCATCTAAATGTGCAAAATAGCTTTCCCTTCTCTCTTTTTCTTCCATTAGCATGGCAGTTAGCCTTTGGGCTGCATATGAATGTTACTATGTTTAAACTACTAAATATAAAAATGGTTTAGGGGGTTTAAAATTCAAGCTTAAGGATTATGTATATTTATTATTATTATTATTTAATTTTATTCTACATGGCCAATGCTGCATGGAAAAGATGTGAAGGATAATTTCAGGGGAGCACAAACAAAGAGCACAAAGGACTCTATGCAAAGAGTTTAGTAAATAGAATTGTACTTCATAGGTGGAGAGCAGACGAAACCCTCAGGGTTGTGGGACTACTTTTCTAACATGCATTTTGCACTGTACCTTCCTTTCTCTTTATTGCTCAGTGCACTTCAACCTAGTTCCCCCATGCATTTCCCACATACTCTGCATTGAAAGCAGGCCATGATATTCATAATTGCTACCATTCTAAACATGAATGGTTTTCTCACCAGACCCACAAGAAAACATCAAAACACTGAAATGGCAAAAAATAAATTAGAAAATAGAAGGAGAAAGAGAGAAGGAAGAAAGGAAAGAGTAAAGGGGAAAGGAAGGGAGAGAGAAAAGAAGTGAATGAAGGAAGAAAAGATAGAGAAAAGGGGGAAAAGAGGAAGGCAGGATAAAAAAGAAAAAGAAATGGAAAAGAGATGAAGAGAGTGTAAGAAAATATTTCTACATTTACTTTTTACTTGTACGTACCAAACTAGGCCAACTGACCTTCAACGTTCATATGGCTAATGTTGTAGATAAATATCATTAAATACTTTTAATGTGGAGGGCAAATATTTTAATAAAGCCCACATGAGTTGAATTAATGGTTGTGTGTTCAAATTAAGGAAATTCTTCTAATTTGGGGACACCCACCCCCCAAAAAAGTACACACGATTGTATTTTGTGTAAAAGTACATGTGTTGTGTGTGTCTGTGTGTGTTTGTGTGTTAGGTTGCTAAAAGTTGCTCTTCTTTTTGAACTCTTGAAACCAAACAATAATTTTCCAGAAGAGTAAAAGAAAAGTTAACAGTGTTATGTTTTTTTTCTCAAATACTCTGAATATATCAAATTATATCCTCAAGCATCCAACCAGTCACTTTTAACCCTTCAATTTCCTCAGATACTTCTTTACTTTCAACTAGTTAATTCTGATTATTCATTTAGTGTTCTGAAAGTATATCTTCTGAGAGGCTATTTCTATGGTGTCATGTGTGTATGTGTGGTGTGTGTGTGTGTGTGTATGTGTGTGTGTGTATAAAATACTTATTGAGTAGCTTGAAAGGCATTATTTAGTTTGTAAATATGCAGGCTATTTTGCTACAACCTGTCTTATGGCTTGAATTATCTGGATACTCATGAATGCGACATACTATAACAAGGTGAAGAACATAAATGCATCAAGTTATATCACAAACTTTTTTTTTTCCAGTAGGAATGAAGAGGAAAGTTACCACTCACATTGCAAAAACATCTATTTGTCTTGACATGCCTGAAGTTTTAATGATTTTGAAATTCATTATTGGTATATTTTGGATTGGGGAAAGATATGTTATCAATTCAATATTATCTCTAAGAGAAATTTTAGATTTATCAACTCAAGAATGTGATAGCATTCCTTAGAAAACTGTGATAAAGAAAGCTTGGAAATAGGGCTATGTGTGTGTAAGTTCTGCATTGCCATTGGCACCTCTAACTGTTGAAGCTTGCTGAAAATAACTAAAAAGGAGAAAGCATTTAACACTCTGTATAACAGCATAGCTGAAAGTTTCCTGAAGTGTTAAGAAAAGGCTGGCTAACTGTTATCCGTGATGTCTAAGGCAGTGGCATTGTGTCTGACACCTGACCATTCCTCTCACTTTGTGAACTTAAATAAATCAACAGACAACATGGATTCTCTTTTTCCTAGTTATTTGGAATACATAATAAATGAGAGTGTACTCTCCCTTTTGTTGTCTAGTGTCACAAGATCTATAGACTAACACAGTATTTAGTATGTCTACTTTCACTGTAAATTTTACTGGGCCAATTGCTTTAACAAAACGTTCCTCTATTTTGGCATGCATTCATATGTGGCATTTCTATTCTCCTTCTCCAAGATGATGGTGCAGCTCATCTTTATTTCATTTTTCCTCCTGAGCATAAAATGTATTTTATAGGGGTTTCTACAAGCTTCTTTTTTTTTCCCATTAGGGAAACTTTTAATAAAGAAGAAACATTTGTTACTTTAGAATTTTTCTCTACTCTGAAAATATATTTGCTCTTTAAATATCCCACAGTATGTACTGGGGGAAAAAAGTAACACTTCAGGTTAGACTTAAAACATAATGCATTATCAATGAGTTTCAGCCCAGAAAGAATTAGCCTTCTGGGTGCACAGCTTCTCAGTCTTGGCTTCCTGCCAGAGTTGATATTCTAGCTTTATTTTATAAGTTTCCCCAGCTGCTTTCCAAATCTGGGGAGGCAACACCAGCCAGAATCTTCTAGTTTGAACACAGTATGCTAAATGCTTTTCTGTTCTCCCTGAGTAGTTGCTACTAAATGAAACACAGAAACTTTGATCTTTGGATTTTATTCTCAAAGGTTCCTTTTCCACTCAAGCAGAAAGTGCAAGGAGATCATATATATATTATTCCTTTTGGGGACACTTGTTTTTCAACACTTATCTAATATCTTTAGGATAAGATAGTTCTGTTAGTGTTGAGAATAAATTAAGAAAGTGAATTTTCTGAAAAAAAAAAGCAATTACAGAATGCTTTTTAGGGAGAAGAACAATAGGTATTAAATAGGCATGTAGTTTTAATACTCATATGGAAGATATTTTCTGAGGTGAATATACATATTTATATTTTAATATCAAATATAAACATTTCAAGTTATGATTTTATGTTTATATTCAGATATTTTCTCATTGATTAAAAAGAAAACATGTAATAAGATTACCATGAGATTTTATTTTCCATTTATTTAAAAATGAGGTCTGAGTTTCATCAATATTTCCTCTTTAACAGTGATTTTTCATAGTATATTTAATAAGTCACATACATTACAACGTTCACAAAGAATTTTCTATGCATCAGTCTTGGGGGTGATCGGCTATCATTCAGATTGAGTTAAAAAGGGCTGTTCTGTCTAACATTCAGTTTCCAAAAATCTTCCCCATTAATTAATTATAGATATCTATCAATGTAAATGCCATTGCATGCTAATCCTCATTAGGTAGAAGATCCTTTATTTGAAAAATGTCAACAATCATAGTACATTTATATCCTTAGTTAATACTGAGATAAATGTAAGGATAAGCATATTTCAGTAAGAAACTTAGACTTTCTGGTCAGTGGACTTTATATTCTCTACCTACATTTGCCTTACAAAAAAATAATCATGACCAACATAGCACCCCACTATCATTTGGATGTATCTAATTGTCACAATTTTAATAAAAGGGAGTAAAACTATTCTTCTAATATGAAAAAAATACTTTTAAATCTTTGTAGGGAAAATTCATTGCCTCCTAGCTTTGGTGAGATTCAATCAATTACAGTAACTTTTGTCTCCATCAATTTTAACAAGAACCTATAGGATTTCAAGTAACAAGTTGATAAGAAAGTAGATAACTGAAATCTCTATGAGCTATAGAAACATACTAATATCTTAGTATGCAGATAACTTTAAATATGTATGATCCTGAGTTAATGAAAAATGCACTGATAGAAGGATCAGTGAAAGCAAGCAGAGGTGAGTTTGAAAGAGATTTGATAAAGTATGAACTGTTCAGACTTGCTCAGAACTACATGAGAATTTACAGTATAACCTGTCATGTTGAACAAAGCAGGTCAACAATTCTAAATACTATTACAGTAATTGTGTAAAATGAAAAATGCAGTATTTTATTAATCAAGACAAATTATGAGGAATATAAGTTTTACGTTTCCTTTTTATTAAACTTCCCATGATCCATGATACAGGTATTGGAAAAGGTGAATACAGCCATATTTAAATACTGTTTCCTGTTTTACAACTTGTACACCAGGAATTTGAAGGTATTTACAGGTATACCACAAAGCTGTTTCTATCCTCCTTATAGTGTATGCTTATGGCATATGACATATATTATTTTTAAAATGTATGTTTCTTTCCTAACAGGAGCTAGGAGGAAAGCACCTATTTCTTTATAAACAATTTATGGCTGTATTGCACAATTTCAAATGTCTGTGACAGCTGTTTCTCTAAAGCAGACCATTAGAACAGAGCATACTTATAAATCTCAGGTCCCAAGAAAAAGAGTTCTCATCTTGGGTAATTCAAATATGATGTTCTCAGGAACACTTACTTCTCAGGGAACATTTATAACCCCTCAGTTAGCTTTGGATGTTGAGTTTGTAAAATTGTTGATTTCAATATGAAAAGGCTAAAATTTTGATATCAAGTGAGGATTTTTGTGTGTGTGTGTGTGTGTGTACAAATGTTCTGACAACTGTTTATGATATTTCAAGTTACATCTCTTCTGAGAGAGGACTGTATATTGCACTTATAGTACGAACATAACTTCTACAAAGCATAATGACAGGTAAGTACATACATGCCAAAAAGTGAGATTGGATTTGGTTTAAAAATATTTTCTGCCTCTACATAAATTTTTCACAAATAAAACTTTATTGTGTTCAACTTGTTTACGTAGCTAAGCAACATACATCCATTTATTGTACACGCCTCGATTTCAACAAATAAGCAGCAACTTACCTAGAGAAGCATTTCAATTATTTTTTTCTTTTCCTAACTTGAATTTATCCCGAGTTAGAGAATGAGATATCCAGCATTCAGGTTCACTTGGCTCCAGGTTAATTAGAAGGAGCTTTCAGTTCATACAATCTGCCTTAACAATATTCCGAGAGCACTCATTAGCTCCAGTCCTAGTATGTGAACTCTTCCAGCAGAGTCTTTTTATTTATACACACATTGTCCTTTTCAAAACAAGCAGCCAGCTGGAATGATTCAAACCTCTGTTCAGCACACCGTTAAAATGCAGCTTCCTTCTTGGACAGGAGAATTACACCAGGGAGCAGACCGGGTACAGCAAAAAGGCTATGAGAACTATTTAATCACCGGAATACCAGCTGCTCCTGCTCTGCTGTTGCTACTGCTGCTGTGCCTCTTGTTTAGCTGGAGTCGGTCTTTCCCTCCCTCCCTCTTTCTCTCATATCTCCAGAACTATAAAGGCAGCTCTGCTGGATTATGATTGGCAGAAACAGCCAATTCCTTCAGCTAATCATCCTCAAGACTTTCAAGGACCTGGAGCTGTTGTGATGTCATCCAGTCAGTGGGATGTTACACATGAATACATTCCAACAGAAGCAAAATCAGCGATCGGCTGCATTCCTCTCACACCACAGTGATTGATTAGATGCTCCTTAAGGATTTGCATAATCTCACATTGTACAGTTACACTATTTCCTAGGAAATTCGAGAATAAATTTCTACTTTGCAGCTATGACTCTGTACCATAAGATTCTATTTGGTTAAAAAAAAAGAAAAGTTCAGGACAGATTTTTCTGTTGTAAATGTGTGCCAGTCAAGCACATGAATTACAAACTCAACAAAAGCTGGTATGGAGCAATAGGAAACTTGGAAAAATAATAGCGAGCTACGTGCTCTAAAATGTACAGTGTTATAGAGTATAATAAATGGTAGAAGAAAGGCAAGTATATATATATATATATATATTTGTGTTTATCACTTATATCATTTCACTAATTAAGGTAAATACTGAATTATTACGGAAAATTTATTTTTTCAATGACAAAAATTTTCTCCATGTAATATGACTACCTGCTCTTTGTTCTCTAGTCACTCATGCAAACTCATAAAGAGATTATAAACTGCTTTTATATACTTTGTAAACGAGTTGAACTTCATCAGTATGAATAGAAGATAGAAGTAAAATGCCTTCAAGTGCATTCTTTTGTCCCAGATTATACAGTTCCTTGGGCTCTTCTTGCTTCAGTACCTTCTTTAGTTTCCATCAATTAATTTAGTGGAAAAGTTGTGCTAATGAAAATTTGGTCAAAAACCATGTACAAGTAGAGAAAACTGCAGCAAACTTTTTCACAACTCTAAGTATCCTTCTCATATGTATATTTTGGGTCACAAATAGTTCTGCTTGGAATACTGGAGAGTTTCAGTGAAGCTCTCTGTTGGCTTACAGGTATGGGTGGGAGGGAGTTCCTTAAAACTCAGCATTTATTGATGATATAGTCTTTTGGATTAATAATTTTAAAGTACTTAGTATTACTACTCGGTCAGCAAATTGTTGATATATATGCTAGAAAGAGGACAGAGAAAGACATGCAGCAACTTAGTAAGAATGTCTACCAGTTATTTATATACCACAAATACAATCTAGGATCATGCGTCTGTTAATTTTTTAGGTGCACAGGAAAAAAATATATGAAATGAAAAATTTATACTTTAGAAGCAATCAACGAGTCCAGGAACATTTGGAGTGCAAAGATTCATTTGAAGAACAAGTCAGAACGTTCATAAGGATACACCTCAAAATTCAAACTGGATAAATTACAGTTAAACATTTAACAATGTCATAATAATTATTACTAGAATAGCTTTGTGCCAAACACTAACAGCTGATAAAGTTAAATAAATTTGAAATACTGATTGAAGATTTTATGTAGTTTATCTTACTAATAATGCCTTCTTATTTAATCAAGTTTAGTTATTATTTTTAAGTCTTACTTTTACAAAGATTATTTAAGTAAAATGCAGCATACTGTAAAATATTTGAGTTCTTCATACTATTGATGTATTTTTATTTCACAACTCCATAAAGAATGCCACTCTATCAGAGTAACTTCAGTTATTGTAATTAAATGACAACACAGATTCTGATTATAAAACCATCAAACTTAAAACATGGAACAGGATTTACATCCCCAGAACTAGTGATAACTATTGTTAAATAACTACAAGAAAAAATTGTTTATCAGGGTTTTTCTCTGCTATTAGTCTATAAGCAATATTTATACCTGTAGAAATATTACATTATTCTCTAGAGGAAAATAATAATAATAATACAAAGTGAAAGTACTTTGACAATAGAAAAGTGTTAAATATAGTACTAGAGGAAGATCTAAAACATAAATATTTCTTCATATTTGTTAAATATTAACTGTAATAACCAAAAAAAATCCAGGGATAGGAAATTAAAATTTATTGTGTGAAAAAAAAACACACTTCTTTACTGTCTTTCACTCAATGTTCAGAAATACATTAAAATATTGAAGTCAGGGGGTCCCACCATGTACATATGTGTAAATATATAAAGAAACTAAAGATCCAAACCTACTTTTGTAGTAAGTTGAAGTAATCTCCAATATCCAGACTAAAGTAAAACAAAACAATTCCAGAAGTATTTTGAATATTTTTCATATAATTGCCTTTGAACTTTGTATTCTCCGCTGATTAGAAAATATTTTTATGAAATTATTATCTATTTTCTAATCTGTTAAATTGAGAAAATAAAAAATATGACCTTGGGCACTATTGTGAGAAAATGCGATATGGAAAACATGCTTGAATTTTTTTTTCAAAATTTCTTAGATCACTTACCATAGATACCAAAACTTATCAGTCTTGCACTTAAGTCATACATAGCATCTATACTAAGATACATCATGCAAAGCATTTGCCCTACTGTTTGTCATTGAATTCTTCAAAGAAGAAAATAGATGCTCTTATTTTCTTTTGGCACTTCAAGAAGTATAATGTAATTTTTTTTTCATCTACTAAGACACAAATCCAGATTTAAACTAAGACCTCAAAGGATTTTTCTGAAATTGAATTGAACTTGTTGAACTAACAAACACTTGGAGATCCACATATTTTTATCTAATTGCTCCCTTGCTTCAGCAAAAGTTAAAGTAGTATTTTCCCAGTATAAAATATTATTTTGATTGAATTTATTCTAGACACTGACTTTAAAATTTCAGTGGAGTTTCCAGGAAGGCATAAAGTATGTGTCATATAAATTGTTTTGAAACTGGAAATTTGAAAATATTCTCTACTACACATTTATAGTGCTGTCAAATTATGAAATGTAAAACATGTGTATTGTATTCTTAAAAATATGTAACTTATATTAATGCCTATGTCACCCACAGGAAAACAAGCAAAACAAAATAAAACTTGTTTATTGAAAAAGGAAGCTCATTTCTTTTTGTTTGCATGTTAATTTTCATTTATAGTGAAAAAAATGACAGAATAATCATAGAAATATTAGAAAAATTCAGTCAACTTAACAGTTTCAAAAACTTCTGAGTTAGAGATGTAGCTGTGTAGTAGTACCTGCCTAGTGGTATAAGGTCCTGAGTTCATTCCCCAACACTACAAAAAAAAAAAAAATTCTTGTAATTATTTTCTCCAATTTGCTTATTATTACCAAAGAATAGTTTAAAATGGATGCATCTGAAATAAGTAGAATTTGAACAGAAAATGCTCCAAATATTTTAATTTATCTTATAATTTCTACTTTAAAAAGTCTTTTATGTACAAACACAGATTATAAATAGAAGTTATTTATATATTCACAAATTCTTTTTAAATTATTTTGAGTTTTATCTCCTTTCTACTGAAAATAACTATTTTAAAATTCTCCTACAAAAATAACATTTTTGAATGAATACAACTAATTATAGTCTCACAGTGTTGTTTTAATTCAATTAAATTGAAGTTTAAGTTACTTAAATTTATGCATACAGGGTTCTATTATTAAGGTACCACTGTCTCTCTGTCCCAGTTTCTTGCAATGATTTTTTTTTAATCATAAACAACTGTCCTGTTGTCCCATCTAACACAAAAGACTGTTACCACCTTGTTTTTAAAAGAAAAAGAATAAATAAAAGAAACCCCTATGTTCACAGTTTTACATTTAGGAGAAAATGCCTTTAAGTGGAATGTGAGTGATTATCATAAAAAATATTTTAAAGAGAGTAAGAAAATTTTCTGCTAGCAATTATGCAGGTAAGAACTCATTTGATGGGCTGGGGTGTAGCTCAGTGGTAGAGTGCTGGCCTAGCATGCCACTGGGTTTGAGCCTCAGCACCACATAAATGTAAAATAAGGATACTGTGTCTATCTAAAACTTACAAATAAATATTAAAAAATAACTCATTTGAGAAAAAGGAGGATAAAGTCATATTAGTTCAATTGCTGTCATAATACATGGTGAGAAAAAATAGTGTCAAATAACACTGCTTTCACACCAAGCATAGGGTTACAGACTTAAATCTGATCATGCATCTGGATCACTTGTTAGCAACTTACTAAGAAAAATGGGAACCACAGGTTGGAAGAGAGAATCTTGCCAGTTATCAATGCAGTACAGTGTTTTAGCAAGAGAGAAATCAGCATGTTAAGGTTTCAAATAAATCCTTTGAAGAGACAAAGCTTGAAGAGCCAAGAGAGGGAACAAACAGGCTAAACAGTCCAATTCTAGTTTGGCTGACAACTGTCTAAAGGAACATAATTTTCAAGAGAGAACAGCTGTTGGCCAAAGCATCATTTAATCCCAAGAATTTTTGAGAATTTTTGCCTTGTACTAAAAGGGAACCACAAAAGTGAGAACCAGGTTAAGGTAGGGGAGGACAGTAAAAATTCAATTTGCAATTATTCCTTGGCTTCATTCTTGCTATGAGAACTTTCCATAACTTTCTCTATTTGAGGCTTTATAAAGTTGGAGACAGTTCCTGAAGTAGATTAATATGTCTACAACTCCAATAGGAGATTCTCAGCAGAGGAGCATCTTTAAACACCTTAAAGTGCTTCGGCAGACATGGAGTTGTTGCAACGAGAAAATGCCTTTTGTTTCTCTCTTCATTTCTCTCTCTTTCCTTTGTAATTCCCCTTTTCCAAAATTTTGTCATAGCTTAATGGCAATTTCTTTTAGAGTCAGACTTTACAAGTCATGTCATTTTATATTTTCTAAATGTTGAAGGTGAGAAACCTACTTGCAGGCCAGAATCCCAGCATCGTGGTAATAAATTTGATAAAACCCTTTCTATCCTATGGGGTATTTTGTTTCATCAGTTAGCAAATTCCTTTTATCTTAGGTATCTCGATATCATTTGTTTTCTGTCTGCTCCAGTCCTTCAGGGAAAAGCTTCTCATTTATGAGCTTCTACAGCTAATGCTCTGATCAGCATGGGAAATCTTAATTTTTCACCAAGCCTTAGTAAATCAGTTTCTGTCCAGTTAGCTTGAATGCCTCATTCTAAATTACTATCACTCTGAAGTAATTTACTGGATG